AAACATTGACAGATTCCACTCTGGTGTTTAAATATGAGGCCGGAGATTAAAGTTATGATTACAGCTGAGATAAATCATCCTTTATTTGATCCTCTGAACTCTCTGGTGGCTTAAAGATGAATAAAAACCAAAAACTAACACGAAACGAGAAACCGTAGAAACACAAAGAATCGCCACACGTCCAACTTTCACCAAATCTGAGCTCTGAATCGTGACGTTTCATCAAAACGCACTTTGCTTCAAATGCCAAAAAAATAAACTAGATTCTGGTCAGAGCTAAAAGCGCTGCCGTCCTCGGTGAAGCCATCAGTGACTCAGCTCTGACCAGCACTCATGTGTAAGCAATGAAAAGGTTTTTGTCCTCCAGTATTAAAAACATCTGTCGGTCGCTGGAGAAATATTTTGCATGCTGATTGCAGGTTTTGTCAATTTTGGTGAAATAAACACACAAGTTTTGGTATTTTTGTGAGATTTAAGGAGTTCTGTCCACGTCGTGTCCTTGGAGGTGGATTAATGTGAAACATGAGCTCACGGTGGTGAAACGTGTGACGGGAGCAGAAGCAGCCAGAGACAGCCGAGGTTCTGCAGGCAGACCTCTGAGAACACGGTGGAAACTCACTTCAGTATCACGCAGCCCGACCCGGTGGGCGGCGCCGTCCATAACACCTGGATCCTGGTGCGTCGGCGGGGCGTGCTCTCCGTCACCGCCGGCGGACAGTTGGTCATGAACTGGGTGTCGTCCTCGTCGATGATCTGGAAGCAAAACAAACGGAGGGTCAGTTCGGTTCGGTCGCCTCCTGATGGAGAAGTCGGACAGATCGTCCGGCGCTGCTCGGCCAAGTTTACGTATTATTTACTCGAAGGCAGATGTTGTTTGACCCGGTTCCTTTGCTTACAAATCCAAAGGAAAAAAAACCAAACGTGGCAGCGCTTCAGGAAACATCGAAATCAGCTCGTTCAGGTTCAGGAGAAGCTCCATCAGCAGGACTCACTGTGACGCTGCAAACACGGATTCATCGTCTATGAAGTTAATCCTCATCTACTCTGATGATCCAATCATCTGTTTGGACAGTTTCTTAATTCCAGCGTCTTAAATGTGAATATTTTCTGGTTTCTTTCCTCTAAACTGAATATCCTACAAATAGACGCTTCATGAGACATAAAACAACGACAGAAAGATGCAAAATGACTGAACGCTTGATTTAAAAACACACAAAACGAAGACAAATGGCTGCAAAACAACTGAAAACCAGACATAAACTGATGACAAATGGACCCAGAATTAGTATGAAGAGGCACAAACACAAGCAAGACGATTAAATAGAGACACGAAAAGACCCTGAATAGAAAAACAACTTGAACAATAAGTTGTAAAAATAGTCAAAGTTGTCGTGCAGATTTTTAAACATCTTCTGACAACACATTTGTCATCTGTGGGAAACGTGAGCGTATCTGGATGCAGCATCACTGCACAGAAACACGAAACAACGGCAGAAAGATGCAAAATGACTGAACGCTTGATTCAAAAACACACAAAACGAACACAAATTGCAGCAAAACAACCGTAAAAGAGGCGTCAGACGACAAACAGATGCAGACTGGGTGTAAAGTGGAGCTGATTCGATGATAAACAGTAAAAACTGTGAGAATCCAACTCGCAGAAGCTCTGAGTCGATAAAACTCACTGAATAAGTTTAAACTTTATCGCGTCGGCGAAGCTGCAAAAAAAAAAAATCTAATGATTGTTGAAGTCGTTAAAATTCATCCTCGAGGGACCATCGACGTCTCGGCAACTTTCTCCTGGAAACTCACTGAAAGGTCACCGAGATATTTCAGTCTAGACTGAAGACTGAGCTGCTGAGGTGGAAACTAACCAGAACACGTCCTGCGGGTCACAAACAAGATGCAGAACGCACAGAACAGTTCTGGTTCCTGCTCCCGAGGGAACCGGCTGGAAACATGCAAAACAGAAGCAACTTCGAGGCCAGAGCGAGACAGAAAGTCCAACCTGCTGCTTCTCCTCCTGCAGCGTCGTGGAACAGAACATCTCCAGAGGCTGGAGACCTGATCACAGGAGAACCTCTGCTCTTGGGTTTTCCTGCAGACACACTGCAGGTGCCGGCGCCGCTCATCTTCAGAGCAGCAGAACCAGAATGTTCTGAAGGGAAAGTTTTACCTGTGATGACGTCACGCTTCAATCTGAGCAGAAGGTTTACCGCCAACGACCGCAGCAGTAGGAGAAACGTTCCTCCAGAATGGTTCTGTATCTGCAGCACCTTCATCTACTGACCAGAGTTCTACCTTCAGACTGTGAATGTTCCAGAGGTCCAGGTCCTTCAAGTCCACAGAGGAGGGTCCAGATTGATCACTTTAATGGACTTTTTCCATCATTTCTGAGCCTCAGAACTTCATCAGTACAGCAGATAGACACATGACATTTAGGAGGAAGAACACATCTGGGTTCTGCTAGAACCTGACACCAGATCAGTTCTACATCCATCCAGGAGTCTCAGTCTGAAGACAGAAAGTCTGGTCACATTTTGAGTTATTTTGGACAATTTTCAAATATTTCTGGATGTTTTAACGTCATTCTGGACGTATTGAGTCATTTAGGACATTTTTTTTTTTTTTTACAAACCTCCAATAATTTTTAAAGTAATTTTGGACAACTTTATGTCTCCTTCAACAATTTCTGAGTCACTTTGGACAGATAATTATCATTTTGAACAATTTCTAAAGGATGAAAAACACATTTAAGCTTTGATTAAAAACTGTCTGTCTTCAGACTGAGACTCCTGGATGGATGTAGAACTGATCTGGTGTCAGGTTCTAGCAGAACCCAGATGTGTTCTTCCTCCTAAATGTCATGTGTCTATCTGCTGTACTGATGAAGTTCTGAGGCTCAGAAATGATGGAAAAAGTCCATTAAAGTGATCAATCTGGACCCTCCTCTGTGGACTTCAAGGACCTGGACCTCTGGAACATTCACAGAACTCTGGTCAGTAGATGAAGGTTCTGCAGATACAGAACCAGCTGGTTCTGAGGAGGTCACTGATAGATTTTCCTCCTTCGAAGCGACACCAGCTGGAGCCGAACTTGTGGGAAAAAGAGGGTCAGTTTTCAAAGTCCCCGAGCGGCGCTTTGGGTAATAACAGGTTTGTGTATTCAGGACGTGTCTCGGCCGGTTTGTCTTTGCTTCTCGGACCTTGTCAGACATTTTAAAGACTAAACACACACAGAGGCTGCAGCACACATGGCCTCTGACCTTGAAGCTCTGCAGCTGCCTCCACAATAACGCTGACTGAACAGCCCGACTCCTGATAGGACGACGGAAGTCACGCTTTTCTTTCCCCGCAAACACTTCTCTGTATTTCTGCATCGACTTATTCAGGTTTGCTTTTTTGTTTCGCCAACACTGAGGTTCTGTCAGTCAGAAGCAGAAAGAACGAGCAGCTAAAAGGCAGAAAACAGCAGGAGACGTGTAAAGAAGAGAGAGAAGGAAGGCTTTAGGAGTTTGGTGACAGGGAGGGATATGGAGATAGATGAGGGCTAACAGGACAAACTGAAGCACAAGGATAACACTTAGGTTTGGAGCTGCTGTCTAGACGTGAGGAAAACTCAGCTGATTTCCTGTAATGATGCTAAACATTTAGAGGAAACGGCGCAGAATGTACAAACACAACACGTGTTCAGAGACTGGTTTGCTCTGCTGGACTGAACTGGTTAAAATAAAAACACAACTACGAGGCTGATCTGAGACGTCTGGACGTTACAGAGTCCAATCTCTGGTCGACACATTCAAGTGGAGGCAGGTCGAGTCCCTGGAGCTCCGTCCAGCTCAAGAGCTCAAAGTCAGGACATGCAAATCCAGACTTAATCCTCCAGTCAAGTCTGTCAAGTCCCGCGTCGAGCCAAAGTCAGCGATGCAGGAATCGATTCTCAGGTCCAGGCAGCTCAGCAAGGCTCCAGGTGATAGCGTCTCTGTTCAAACCGATGACTCAGTCTGGACGATAACGCCAGAGAGACACGAGATGAGATGAAATGATCCCGAAGGAAGTTCTTGAAACCGAACATGACGAGAACATGAAACAAAGTCTGAAGCCACCGTGACCAAGTAGAAGATACCTCCAATATGTGAGGACTCTAGAGCGTATACTTCAAGAGATGTGGACATCTGGAGGCGGCATCTCCCTCAACTTCCATGAAAATGTTGGAACTTCAGCTAAAAAATGGGCAGATGTCAGGTTCAGATCGTTCCTACGTGACCTCCACCAACCTCACTGAGCTGACAAGAAGAATCGTAAAAAATATATGAATAAAATAAATAGTGAAGTGAATAAAGGGTAAAATAAACAAATAGAATAATAAATTAGACGGTTAAAAATAGACGTTACATGAAAGCAAGCCTATAAAATGAGCTTCAAGGAGGGAATTAAAAGAAATCCCTTCTTAACTTCTACATACTCTTCAGATTTAAGACTTCCTGTCAAAACCCCCTCATAGCTCAAAGTGTCTAAACCAAATTGTAAACAACACATCTGTCCAGATTGTCTAAACCGCCACATTAATAAATGTCAACAAAAAATACAGTTTCTTGATTCCCTAAAACCACCATTTTCCTCGATTTGACCCACACTGGTGGATCTAAAGTCCATCCCAGTGGACAAACGGGTCACATCTGACCCCAGACGGCCTCAATGGACAAACACCTGTAGCACCTGTACAAACGTCTAACATTCAAAATATTTTAATTTTTGTGTATTTTGGGTCACTTTAGGAAAACTCAACAAATTTGAGGCTGAAATAACAACGTTCAGGTTGTTTCTACTGCTGTCAGATGTCAAAACGGGTCCAGTTTAGCCTTAAACCGTCTGTAAGGGTGAAATGTGTTTAATGGGATTGTAGTTGAGTGCAGACTGTTGGTGGAACGACGTCTCGCAATCAGGGTCCAAATTCGGACTAATTCCCACGAACACCAGTGAAAATGTCCCGACTGGAATTCAAACAATGGACGCATTCAAGGTTGGAGCCAAGCGGCCGCCGACGACGGGGAATGCGCGGCGGCGTGAAGGGAGTGTGGGAAGACGTCGGTCCATCCCGGCCTCCAGCTCTCCGCTCAGACGGTAAACACAGATGCTTCGGGGTGGCTGCACAAGCAAACTGTTCAAACACACAACCGGCAACACAAAAGAGCCGCGACGCTCCGGACGACCGCCGTCCTCTGAGAAATGCGACGGTGAGAGCGACGGCGGCCTGCATGTGTGTGTGAGCGCAGGTTAGTGATTAAATGCAAAAGCAGCTACAAAGGAGTGAATACAGCAGAAACCTCGGGGACTGGAGTGCACAGAAAAGAAAGTTTTGGCAGGAGAAGCAGACGGGGAGATGGATTGAAATGTCACGTCAACACTTCAAGATGAGCTTATTTCACAGAGTAACAAACTTCTCTTGTCTCGATGAAGACCTCGGAGGCGCCGACATTTTGCCGCGAGCTTTCCATCAATCAAAGCCGTACTATTACTGCAGAACGCCGCTGAGATCTCGGGGCGATCGCCAAATATTGCATCATATTACATCTTGTGTCTGAGCCACCCAACCAAGGCGGCGGCGGCGGCGGCGGCGGCGGAGTCGCACATCCAAACAGCTGCCGTGAAACTGTGCCTGTTTGTCGCTTTATTTCCCGACAAATGGGGCCAATTCTGTGGCTCTTGGCGTTCAATTACACAAAACGGCATCGGAGGGGAGGGCCTGCGCTG